CTATTATATATTAATCATTCCACCTTCTGCTGGTATAGTGTAGAAACTCTTCGGCCTTGTAGGATCATCGTTATCGCTAACATATCCCGTCTTGAACTTGTCCATACCATATTTCCATAACAGTGTTGCATATCTATTGCGAAGATAGTCACTCCGAAAACTTATAGATGGAATGTTGATTTCGTCGCTCAAATATTCAGCAAAAGCAGCTACATACAATCCACAATCATTGCAAACAAAAAGTAGATACATTTTTAAAAGTATATGATACTAAATAACAAGAAGACATAATATGTACACAAAATCAATTCTACTGTATAATTCAATGTGATACAAATATAGGTTCTTTTAGGTATCATTTGGAGACTTATCATTAACTATGATTCACAGTACAAAAACCAAACTAGATGCAAAATTGTTGAATTAAGCAATTTTCTTATATACAATAATATTCATTTCATTTGATACTAAATAACAACTACTTCATAAGAAAACATAAATGTACACAAATTGAATTATTCCTTATATACAGTGACCAAAATCTAACCTACAAAATAAATGTGATTTAAGTACTTAACTTAGATACAGTTCTCATAACTTTTTATACAATAACAGTTAACAAATAAAATCACAAAAAAAAATTGTATCTGAGAAACAACTACATATTTCACAGATGATACTTAATAAAAAAATTATTTATCATCAGATTTTAAAAAAAAAAACAGGGATAAGATATATGATAAAAAATGGGAAAAATTGATGCTTACATTTGGTAATGTTGGTCGAACAATGGGAGGGGAAACTTTTCTACCCCTTTTTTGGAGGGTTTTTGGATCTTTTGAAGTAGTTGCATGCCCTTTCTTCTTCGATTTTTTCTTGCTAGAACTTGAATTTGTCATAGTTATCGGAATAGACAACCTTTTAGAACTGAAACATTTGTTGTTCGGATCTTCTGAATAAAAAATTAGAGATTAGTTAGATGTTAGATGCATAATGCAAGATAAAACGATTGATACAAAATAAAAGAAAAAAAATGGCGGAAATTACAATGAAGACAATGAGAAACCCTATTTTGAACTCTGAATCCGGTTTAAAAGTGATAGGGTTCTTTTCAAATTCAAAATTATTTGAATTTGATAACTGAAATTGTAATGGGAGAGATTGGGGCGAAATTTAGGGAATGGGAAAGATCTGATTTTGCTTCAAACTAATAAAGTATCTGGTTAAGTTGAATTGGGGGAAAATAAGGGATTTTTATATTTTAGTAAAAGAGTAGGAAAATATTGAGAATAGGTAAAGAAGTGTTGTGTATTTAAGTAATTTGTCCTATAAGGTAAGGTAAGATTGGATTAAATTTTTTAAAGTTTATCGGTTTAATTTTTTTAGTTCAGTCCGAGTGAGCCCACTGGTTTGTGGGGCTTCATTAATGTGGGTTGGATCAGCCTGCCAGTGCCGGCCCAATAAAGAAAATAATTAAAAATAAAAATAAAGTAGAATACTAAAAAATAAGTAAAAAACGAAAGGAATTAAAAATTCAAAGTCTACTTAAATCATTATATATAAATATTACAATAGTTAATATTTCAATTTAGCTAGTTATATTGTTACTCATTTATTAATGTTTATCTTACTTATAAATATCTTTATTTATTTACAATTCTAGTATATGAAGTTTGAACAAGAGTTTTGATTTACTTTATTTCATCCAAACTCTCTTTGTTTCGGGATTTGAAAGGTCGGCCGATCAGGATTAAAAGATGATTGCCTAATGGCAACGAGCCCACTAGAAAGACCCGCCTTTCACAACATAAAAAAGAAGTAGATAGAACAAAGGAAAAAAAAAATCTCAACTCAACTGTAGAGGCCAGACAAACATTACGGTTAGATAGAGCATTTCTTTTATCTCTCAATACTTTGGCGATCCGATAAACAAACAAATAGGTGGTCTTTTTGAAAATGTAAACAAAAAATCTCCCCACGCATCTCAGTCACTTTTACTTTTTCGTGAGAGGCTTTTAGTTTTCAATTATTTGAGCATTTAGTTTGTTCACTACAGAAGATAACTTTTTCATGTGTTTGAAATTCTAATTTATTATATTTTATATTATTGCAATCCTTCTACATAGGTATTTTAATTTTTCAAAACATATTTAATTACGCTTGATCAAATTAGAAACTTTTTAATTGAGTTACCTATATTTACTGGTGTGTGATTGTTTTTCATAACATAATAATTTTATATATTTTATAGGTTTTGAAGATATGATTTTACATTGAGAAATAGACTTTTAAGGAATCATTTTTGCCCTTCCTAATAACAAGTTTTCTTGTACTGTCTCTCATTCAAATAATTAAGGAGAGCAAGATAATAGAGTAGCTTCAACCTAGAAGAAAAAATATTTTTTATTATTAATATTAATTTGCTTTGTTTAGAAATATAAGATAAAAATTGTTCTCTTTATATTTAATTATATTTCATGCTCACATACAATAAGGACCACTACAAACACAATTACCATGAATCATTTTGGTGGACATATGGGAGCACACTTAGTTGTATCACAATCACTTTTCTTGTTGCAAGGACCATCACTACCCACGTACATTGGTGGCTCATCACACATACAAAATCCTTCTATACATAGTAGAATTCCATGTTTACAAGATGCAGGATCACAATCTTTTTGGCTTTTACAATTTTGAACTTGTCCCAATACCATATATGATGGTGAACCTGTGAATAAATCATAAGAAATGTTAAGAGATCAAAAGTTAAATTTATTGATAATACGTACATAGAAATTAAGGGTGTGTTATGTACGAAGAAAAAAAGACTAGATAAGTAAAGGGTTTGTTTCAACTTGATAAGTGACGTCTTTTTTCTTTTAGGAGGAAATATGACAGATGTAATTTCTTTGTTAGCTAATTTTCTCTTTGTAGTTTAGGTGGGAACCAACGTACATGCTACTTCCTTCGTTAGATGCAAGGTTCCATGTCCACCGCTGGTTATTGTAATTTTTTAAAATAAGTTATCATCATTAGATTGTGAACCTAAGGTTAAAGAGGGGGGGGGGGTAGCTTGACCCCTATCATGTAATATATATATATAATGCGATGATGGCTGTATGATTATGTAGGGTAGAAGGGAGTGTTATGAGTGGGTTGGGGAAGGGCGAGGTGGGGTAGGGTGGGGGCAAAACATAAATATGATGGAGAGAGACAATTACCTTGGAACAACACTTGTAAAAATAGGTATGTATATGTCTCTTATCGATGAAATTGATATTGCGTGTTAATAGTTATGACTTTATAATTTATCTTATAACATTTGATTATAGTGTTTATCAATCAATTTTTAATCAAACTGTGAATATACTATCATTTGGATCAAATGATCACACAAATAGTCTATTTTAATTAGCATAAGAAGAAGAAAGAAAAGGAGAGAACTCTTATGAAAGAATTAAGAGAGAAAAGAGAAATCTTACCTAACAAAATGAACAAGAAAATTAGAGAGAACAAATTGCTTGTTACCTTCACCATTTTTTATACAATTATATCTTGATAATTTCTTTTTTATTTGTATATGAATGCACTAGATACCCTGTGATATATATAGGTGGTGTAACAAACAATTTACTTAATTGTTAATTTCCAAAAAAAATAAATCTTGAAGGTCTACACTAAGTGACAAAAGGAATTAACCAACTTCTTTACAACTTAAAATTTGAGAATGGAATATATATTAGTTTCTGTAATAATAGTTAAATAAATTAATTTCATTGGAAACATAAATTTACTATTACTTCCCTCTAATTTTTTTGGGCATATTTTATTATTTCATCCTATACTGAGATAAACATCTCAAGGGTTCACTTTTCATGGCCCCCATATTTACCTTGCCCCACTTTTAACAAGAAAAAAGAAAAAAAGTAGAAATAATTAATGAGATAAATATGTTTGGGTGCATACTTAAATATGTTATCTTTTTATATATATATATAAAAAAAAAATCTAAAAGTTGTCGGGTGCTTGTGGGCCCCATGAGTATTATAGACCAATCCTAACAAGGTGATAGTAAAGGTTGGCCTTTAGAAATTCTTATGGTCAACCTATGCTACTTAGAGAAAACATCAACATATAAGGTTCATAATCGAACACGAGGTAATTAATATTATCCAACAAGAAGTTAAACCGTGGAATCGATACATAAGGATGATTTGCCTAAGTTTATTTAAAACAACATAAAAATGAATCAAACCAACATATATTCTCTCATTAGTAATCAATGTCTTTTAACTTACCTCAAGTTAAATTATTACTTTTTTCTTCAGATTTACTATTTAACAAAAGTATGCAAACATATAATTTTTGAATAACATGTGCACTTGAGCTATGTGCTTGCAGCTAAGGATAATTTGTTCGAAATGTGTTAAAGTCACTCCAACTAGAAGCAAACAACTGTTCGTCGACATTCTAATTCTCTTACCAAGTTGTTTGTGAAAGCAATTTTAGAGGGGAAAAAAAAAATCAAAGTTGAAATTTAGTGTTGTTACATCTCTCTCATGTGCTCTAATAATTGAGAATTGACGTTTAGCTTAGGTGTGGTACCATTTTATTTGCAATTGTAAAGAGACCTCTTGGTAAGTGGGCCAATTTATAATTCAAAATTGGGCCACTACAATTAAAACCAGCACTGTTTTATATCTTAAATATTATGGCCCACACTTTCTGTCTAATCCATCAATAGGTCCAAAAAGCTTACATTGTTTAAATAGTTGTTACGTACTCCCTCCGTTTCACAAAAAATGACCTTCTTTCCTTTTTAGTCAGTTTAAAAAAAGAATGACCTCTTTTCTTTTTTGGTAACATTTTACTTTTTGTTTTCCACGTGGCATGTTTAAGACCACAAGATTAAGGGCAATTTTGTACATTTGACATAACTTTAATTTAGGACCACAAGATTCAAAAGTACTTCTTTATTTACTTAAACTCCGTGTCAAGTCAAACCAGGTCATTCTTTTTTAAACGGAGGGAGTATTATTTTATAATACTCCCTCCGTTTCATAAAGAATGACCTGCTTCCCTTTTAGTCTGTTTTAAAAAAATGACATATTTCCTTTTTTGGTAATATTTTAATTTCAGCTTTCCACATGGCATGTTTAAAGCCACAAGATTGAAGGGCAATTTAGTACATTTGACATAACTTTAATTTAGGATCACAAGATTCAAAAAAAAAAATTAATTTCTAAAACGTTGTGTCAAGTCAAACCAGGTCACTCTTTGTGAAACGGATATATCATATTATATCGTATTGTATTATTGTAATAAATATACTATTTAAATAGATTGTATCTTTCTTCATGGTTACATATCACATATTCATAATTTGAATGATAAATCTATAAAAAGAAAAAGTAATAAGATACGGCATAGAACTATTATAAAAAGATAAAATAGAACTATTAAATAATAAGTAGTTAAAAATAAAAATAAATGTAACGACGAGATTACACCAAATCGATTGTTATATCAAATGAGTCTTTTAAATTACAATAATCGATACGATATAATTAAATTTAATGTAATGGGATCAATATCGTATAATTATTATTATGAGGCTAGTAGGATTCAAACACACGATCTCAAGAAACTTTCACAATACCTTAACCATTAAATTAAACATTTAACTTATATATATATATATATATATATATAATTTTGGACCGATAATATTAAAAATTAAATGTTTGTAGTAATAAAAACCTAAATGTCAAATCGATTAAATTTATATCTTAGATCAATATTTTTTGTAATAATGCACCCATCATTTAAAAATCCTGGATACACCTTTGATTAACAAGATGTTAAGGATCATTTGGTGATGTATATAAAAATGTCATAAATTTCTATGTATTAGTTATATATAACTAATTTTAATATATGCATTATTTTTGGGCTAATCCATCACTGACCCCTTAAACTTGGCATCAACTTTTACTTGGACACTTTAACTAGGCTTTGTTCATTTTAAGCACCTCATGTCGCATCTTGTTGTGTCATTTTGACACTTTTTGCTGAATAAACATAGTACGTGTGCTACACAAATTTTGAGCGCGTCAGACACTTTCTTTCTCAAAATTTGTATAGCACACATACTATGTTTATTCAGCAAAAAGTGTCAAAATGACACAACAAGATGCGACATGAGGTGCTTAAAATGAACAAAGCCTAGTTAAAGTGTCCAAGTAAAAGTTGATGCCAAGTTTAAGGGGTCAGTGATGGATTAGCCCAAAAATAATGCATATATTAAAATTAGTTATATATAACTAATACATAGAAATTTATGACATTTTTATATACATCACCAAATGATCCTTAACATCTTGTTAATCAAAGGTGTATCCAGGATTTTTAAATGATGGGTGCATTATTACAAAAAATATTGATCTAAGATATAAATTTAATCGATTTGACATTTAGGTTTTTATTACTACAAACATTTAATTTTTAATATTATCGGTCCAAAATTATATATATATATATATATATATAATTTTGGACCGATAATATTAAAAATTAAATGTTTGTAGTAATAAAAACCTAAATGTCAAATCGATTAAATTTATATCTTAGATCAATATTTTTTGTAATAATGCACCCATCATTTAAAAATCCTGGATACACCTTTGATTAACAAGATGGAGAAGCGATAAGAGGTGTCTAAAATAAACAAAGTTTAGTTGAAGTATCAAAGTGAAAGTTGATGTTAAGTTTAAGGGACCAATTAAATATTTTGAAACGGAGTGAATAATAATACGGCGTCATAGAGGGGTCCGCCGTCAAGTCGCCAAATTGCCACACAGAACAGATTCTGTTTCCTACTGAAGATACTGGCTGTGGTCCCCACTATCTTCAATCGCATGCACGTTCTCTTCGCCTACTACTTTACTAATTAACAGCTCCGTCATCAAATTCATTTCACATCCAATCACATTACGCCACGTTGACACTAATTATTAATTTTAAATTTCAAATTATTTTTTTTATAAAATTTTTAAAAATATAATAATGTTTAAGTATGATAAAAGATGAATTTTTCAATCTTAAAAAGAAGAGGGTAAGATATTATAATTTTAATTAATGAGTTTGATCTATCAACTATTATTTAAATAAATAAGATTTTGATAACATGACATGCCAATTAAGAGCGAATGGAATTTTTAATGTGTTTAGTATTATTTTAAAAAGAAATCGTGATATATATGTGAGTAATATTATATCATAAATGAAATAAAAATAAGCTTTAAAGTAATCCTTAAAATTTAAGTGGTTATTTAGAAGTTTGACTCTTAATCTTTAATTAATTAATATTGATTGAGTACTTCCATACAGTGGCGGAGCCATGCACCTTACAATGAGGGGTTCATCTGAATCCCCTTTAGCGGAAAATTATATGATTTATATATAGTTAAAATAATTTTTTAGGTATATATAATAGATGTTGAATCCCTTTGGGCTAGTTTGTGTGACTATTTTTTTAGATTTTGAACTCCCTTATTGAAAATTCTGGCTTCGCCACTGCTTACATATATATATATTTATAACTTCCAACTATCTCATTATCCCTCTAGGCTCTATCCCATTTCGTATCCTTCATAATCTCCTATCTACGATCATGTCCCAAATAACATGAAATTGCTTCATGTCCTATCTAATTAAATACCTCTTCTCAATATGTTTCCAACAATCATTGTTGTTGGTATCAATTGAGGGTTTGCGAACTTTTGTTGCTCTTCGTGAAGATTTTAGCCTAATAGATTTCATGTTACCTCAATTTGAGGTTGATTACATTTTCTATAACCAATCTCTAACACCTCCGCATTTAATCCTATGCATCTCCTCGTTATATGTCTGAAACATCATAAGCTTATCTCATGTATTCAAATTACAAAAAAGAAAATACTTAATTAATTTGACCTCCATACTTTAATAAAAGTTAGTATTTTTTTTAAAAAAAAATTGTATAAAAAAGGCTATAATGTAGCATGATTCTTCCATCACATTCTTTTTATGTCAGTCTGCTTTATCCCTTTGGAAAAAGGCTAGTCATTATCATTCTGTAACAGCGCAGTCATTTTAGCAAAATTCGAATACAAAAAATCTCCAATTCTCTTTATCTCACTCAGGCGTATCTTAGTTCAACATCAATCATTTCATCTACCTTGTGCATTTCACGACCGCCGGTGGTGATTTTTCCGACGGCTAGCTACAATGGGAGTTGATTACTATAACTTACTGAAAGTATCTAGGAATGCGAGTGAAGAAGATTTAAAGAGATCGTACAAGAGATTAGCGATGAAATGGCATCCGGATAAGAATAGTCAGAACAATAAGGAAGCAGAAGCGAAATTCAAGCAGATTTCTGAGGCGTATGATGTGCTTAGTGATCCTCAGAAGCGTCAGATCTATGATTTGTACGGTGAGGATGCGTTGAAGTCTGGTCAATTTACTTCGGCGTCGCCGACTAGTGCTGGTAGTGGGACTGGTAATGGTAGAGGGTTTAGATTCAATACGCGTGATGCGGAGGATATTTTTGCTGAGATTTTTGGTGGATCAGAGGGGTTTAGTAGTGGTTCTGGTGCCGGAGTTGGTCGGAAAGCGGCGCCGGTGGAGAATAAACTTCCGTGTAGCTTGGAGGAGCTTTACAAAGGATCTAGAAGGAAAATGAAGATTTCAAGGATTCTTCTTGATGATTCTGGGTAGGTATACCTTATATTATACGCATATTTACAAGTATTTTTGTGCGTCATCGTTGAATACGTAATTGCACATCTTTGTTCCTATATTAAATATCATTGATGAATTCGAAAAATTAAAATATTTTTTTAATGAAGCATGACTTTGTTTAATTTTAGTCAATTTCCTTTTTCTGAAGCAAAAAGTTAATTTACTTTTCTTCTGAGGTATTGACTGAGATTATTGTACTTTCTGAATCAAAATTGTTCTGTAGCTGGAACAATTTTTCATTTTTAATCATCAAATTGCTGAGATTGAATGCAAATTTGGTAGCAAAAAAAGTAGGTGTTTTGGTATTTGGTATTTGTTTGAACTCTAGAGGATAGAAGTTAAATGTTTTTCAATTGCTGAATTTGCTAACAGCTGAATTGTGTATGACTTTTTTGGGTGTTTCGGCGAAATTGAGGTCCTTTATGCTTCTATGGTTATAGATTCATTGATGTTTAATGGTCAAGATTCACTCTGCTACCTGGTTCAATGGACAAAAGTTCCAATTTCTGTTTTCAAACCGCGTCCTTGGTGGAGTATGGTAGAAGTTTGATAGCTCTTTGACATCCCAATGTGTATCAGCTAGGATCTTGCTTGACATAGCTATAAAGAGCATGGTTTGAACTGACAGAAAGGTTAGAACACTTTGGTGTTGCAGCAAAAACCTATTTGATAGAATTGAGCTATGTTGCTCGAACTCTTCAAAATATCGATGGGTGCGTGTTAGATACTCCAAATAATAGTCAGTATATTTTAGAGAATCTGACACGGGTGCGGCAGCGTTTTTGGAGAGTCCACCCAACGTATGAGTTGAGGATGAAATAGGATCATTATCCTATGTTAGTGTTAAGTTTTTGTTCTGAAAGATGAAACTCACTAGGGTAAAGTAATCAACTTCATATTTTTTAATTTTAGTGGTTGAAAACTATTTTCACAACAACTATAGTAGTTGAGACTGGCTAAAGGATCAATACCCATTCACTCTGATTGGACCCATATCATTTCATTACTCAATAATTTGGCTCTGTGATACTAGAAGTTCTCTTCAATTTGTACTGACAAGCTAGCTGTCAACCTACTGCAAAGTTATTTCTGTGTCCATCACTTACAAAAATATCTTTAAGTGAGATTAAATGTCTTAAATGCATCTTGACCAAATGTTTTTCAGCTAATTGAGTGTACTAGATATTTATTTTGTTAACTCTTGTGCTTTTGCACATCCTCCATTCGTACATTGACAAAACAGTAATTCTGTCATTTCTTTGTTACTTAACAAGTCTTGAAGGTTGAAAAAGACATGT